AAACGTTTCCGCGTCCAGTGTGCAGGAACCATTAGGCCCAGTTTCACAACTCACGGTTAACTCTTAACCGAGGTTCAAACTTATTTCATTGTCTCTTTCTAATTCTAGAATTGGAAAGAGATGAGAAACAACTTATACCGGAATCACTCTACGCATTGAAGATTGAGATTGAAGATTGAAATTTGACCAATAAGGACAAAGAAATTTTAATTCCTTTCATTTCGATTGGTCAAATTTGAATTTTTCAATCTTCAATTTCAATCTTCAATGCATAGTCTGATTCTGGCCTTAATCAGATTTAAGGCTGTTTTCACGTGCAGCGTAACGCGTCAACCAATCAAATTGTATCAGCTATTACGCGTTATTCATGGCTATGTTCCAAAATTGACTGTCTATACTGAAAATCTATAGTGCACGTAACGTAAACTGTCGCATTTTCAGTGTTGGCAGTTAAATTTGGAACACAGCCCTAGTTGAGACGATTTAATTAGCTGACGCAAGTTAATTAAGATTTCAACCGATCAGAAATTGTGTATTCCGGTGTAACTGATGTCTGATAGGTTGAAATCTTAACATTTATTCAAATTTCTAATCTAATATTTTTTTCTCCATTGTGCGCAGGGCCTTAGTTGAATGGCTACGGGTCACGCCAAGCCGCCGACAGATGGCGCTGATCGCGTGCTGCAAATATGGTCTGGAATTTGCATCACTACATCGCTACGGCTACAGTTGTCTACAGTCCGCAGTCAGTTCTTGGATGTTTCCTTTCTTGTTCGTTTTAATTTCGTTTTGTCGTATTAATTTCGCATATTCATCGCGTTGTCAATTGTTCGTGGATGAGGTTCGAAGTCGCACAACGAGCAATAAGAATCGGTTGGACGAATTATCGTGTGTTGTGCTGTAAACACGTGCGAAATCTTGGCACAAGGAAATCTTGGAGAACGACATAAAAGATAGATAGAGAGTAAGATACAAAAGGAAAGAGAGCGAAAGCAGAGATCCCACACAAAAATGTCAGAGATTGACGCTAAAGTGAACATGTCGCTTGGTAAGTCGCCAGAGTCCCGACAATCTAACGGTTTTGCCAGTAATCCCGGATGAGCCCACGTTGCTTTCCCTTGCGTTGGGCAATGGATCGACAAAATGGCGTCGGCACATGTTACGTACGTGATATTACAGCATGCTTGCGTACGGTGCATAGAGTACCTGCATTTGTTTTTCGCTTTTACATATGGAAGACGTTTTCCTCTTGCTCCTAGTGTCTCCCGGAGGATGCTGCATAAAGCGCACATTCACGTACATCGAGGGCACGATGACGGGATTCTTCGTGGGGTGCCGATCGATCGATCGATCGACGCGATGGCGCGTTCGTTAAAGCAGGCTCGCGAGAGAGGAAACGTTTTTGAAAACGAAGAGACTTCTTTTTCAGAAAGAAAGGCTAGAGAGAAAGGGGAATCATCAGAATTTTGTTCTCATATTGTACGTTGCTGTTCGATAATCACAATTGCTTTTTTAGTTAGCAGGAGGAAGAAAGAGAAATCTGAATGAAACATGTGGAATGCGAGAATTTCTCATCCATCCTAAACGATTCTACTCTAATCATGATTGTTCGTAATTTATTTGGTCACCGGGAAGAAGAGAATGTCTAACAGATTGATAAGAAATTTGATAGAAATAGGGTGGAACGATAGAATGATTTATACAATAAGTTCATGTACAAAGAATTGTTTCATGACTGCATAAAATCAAATTTTATACTTGCGATTACTTGCTTCGAGAAGGAAATCGATGTCCAGAATATATAAGTGCATGAACATACAGGAAACGCGATCAAGACGACTTTGATGTACTAGCATATAAAGCACTGTTTTACTTGCCTTAACTAATAGCATTCTGTGATCTTGATTGCTTGCCTTGGGAAGAAACCTGTATCTGCATAAGTATATCCAGGAAATTCCAGCAAACACCGAGAGAAACAATCTGAGAATTTAGCAGGATATTATTCAGAATATCGTTTGTATTTGCCTCAAATAACCATATTTTACTATTGCAATTGTTTGCTTTGGGAAGAAACTGATAGCATCAACATGCGATTGAAATAACAGGAAATTATCTAAGACTTTGTGCTAGGATGTTACATAAAACATTGTTCTATATTTGCCTCAAATAATCATATTCTACGATCGCAATATATTGCTTCTTCAAGAAGAAACCAGTGTCCAGAAAATATAGGTGCATCAACATCCAGAAAATGTGATTGAAACATCAGAAAACAATCCAAGACGTCATGCCAGGATGTTTTATAAATAACACTATTTTATTTGCTTCAAATAATATTCCCGGATATTGAGCTTGCCTCAGTTGTTGAGGAAATATAGACACATCGACGCACAGGAAACGCGATTAAAATAACGGAAATCCATTCCAGAATCTTGTTCCAAGAATTGCATCACATCTGCAATAAATGATTATATCTCAATCGCAATTGTTCATAATCCTTTGCTTTATGTCGCAAGAAAAAAAGAACGATGTATTATGTAACAAGAAATGGATCAAAACATCAAGAAACAAAATCGATAGTACGTGCCAGAAATTTCTTATGCCTGGGATCACTCTGAAATTTTATACCAGCCTCTCTGAAATCTACACCTTTAATACTTCTTGATTACATGAATAGAAATTGTCTGTTGTAATTGTATTATGCACATAGGACTAATTTCCATTTGAAGATTATAAAATTACGACGCATGTTGGAATGTGTCAAACATCTTGAACCTTTTTAACATAATCTTGAAAATCGCAATTTTCTCGTCTTGCAACGTTGGAGCTTCATGATAACGAAATAATCCACGGCGATTTAATTACAGAAGAGAAATCGGAGTGAGATTTGCTGCAGCAAGAGGATCGTGAATCGCGTTACTGCTGATATATATGACGCAATGCATATTATGCAATCACCATTCATCGCTAATTATATTACATATTAATTGCACCGCTAATCTTCCCGACGATTAATTTCCACTAGAGGTCATCCTGAAAGAAATTTATTGCATCAATAACATTTTATATGTAATTTTTAGTTTGAGAAAAAGAGGATGGACTGAAAAGTATTTCGAGAGGCTGTGCCAAGCGTCGTGATCATGACTCATCCCTACGAAAAATTACGCTCTCTTTTCACGCTTAAGACAAGCGCAAAATTTACGCAATTTTATATTTTTATCCGTTGCATCACGAGCAACTGTTGTTCGCCCAGGGAATAGAAAATGATGCCAAATATAGAAAATGAGACACTTCCTCATATTACGCATGCCGGTATAACGTTATTTCTACCGCTATGTAACAAGAACATCCGGCGAAACGATAAGATTAATTTCGCCTTTGTTTCTCTTCTATCACTACAGCCAGAATGAAAAAGGATTTGGAGAATCAAACGCGAATTAACCTCCTTTATCTTCTTGATATGTGACGCTACTTCAAATTAATTTATAGTCTGTTGACAATGCATTAGTATAATATTTACTGGCAATCTGAAAATGCAGGTACTCTGGTAGGCAGGGTGGTTTTAATAATGTTCCGATGAGACTTCAACGTTTTCAATGTCGCGCAAGCAATTCCAGGAAGCGATATATTTATGCGTTACTTATTTATATATCGATCAACATAGCAATCTGTACGGGCTCCTTGAAAATCTTCTGAAATATAATATTAAAAATTAACGGAAGACCTCGTCATAAGAAGAATCATTGACTGGTTCAGCTTATGGAAAAGATTAAAAGTAATGAAAAGAAGAGGACAGAGTAGAAATGCAATTCCTAGGAAGCAACGTTGCATTAATGGAGAAACATGAACTGCCAGCATTCTTTCTTTAATCGGACACCACTTTGAAGTAATCCGTAAAGCAGTGAACGACAATAGGGGTAGAGATTAATGAAAAGCAAAAGGAAAAATGCAATACAAAAAATTACATTGCATATATTAAACATTGTAACTATATTCTGATTATAAAGATCAAACGTTATTTGATTTTGTTTTAAATCAATATTATATTTTGTTTTTATTAAATTTTGATATTTAATTATTGTATGATTTATTTATTGACTTTTAAAAAATCTGCATATTTTATAATTTTTTTCGTGATATCTATAAATTAGAATTTTGTATTTATTAATTCTCGTATTATATAGTTTTATATAAAGAATGATTTCAGAAACGTTATCTGTTAATTTAACGCTCAGAATTTTTTTATATATATTTAATTCTATTATAACAATCCGAAAAATATATGCTGCAAATGTATGAGAAGATATTACACGGATTGCATTCTACGTATTTACAAGAATATCTTTGTAGGCAAAGATCTTTAGGATTACGAATGCTTGGGATGCTATTTCTTCTCAGCGACTTCTTCGGTGGGATACATGCCGAAACGATCTGTATTCTAAGTGATAAATATTTACTTGAGAAATCGCATTCACGCTGGAATCGTTGTCTGTGCCAAGATTTAGCATTAAGTGTTTCGACTTAAGAATTTCGCAGAGATTAGATCCCACCGTCGTACGTCTGCCGTCGTACGCTCATTAAATGACGTGCATTTTCTTCCTTTTAAGATGAGATCATAAAGATGGAGAAAAAGAAAAAAAACGTGTCAACCAACGGAAAATCCGGTGGCGCCAAGCGCAATCGCGGTGCCGGACGAGGTCGGGGTGGATTTAGGGGAAGAGGTGCGAGAATCAAGCGCAATGTCGGGGCCATCCTGAAGAAGCAGCAGCAACAGACCTGGCAACGTAATGCGAGTACTGCAGGCAATGCTCGCGGCGGTTTTGCTCGGAATCGCTTTAAGAGAAATGGCAATCTCGCGAGATCACGTAGCAACTTGAGCTTGAATTATAAGCCAAACAATGTGAGAGGAGGCGCGTTCAATGTGCGTCGTGGCAGAGGCAACAGATTCGGCCTGACTCGCAGCCGAAGTCGTACAAACCTGACGTTTAATCAGGGCGCTTTCTTCATAAACAATAAGAGCTCGCTGAAACGAACGAACAGCTTGCCCAATCTGCGAGATCCGAATTCTGTTCACAATCGCCTGGGCTATCAGAGCCCCGCTCAGATTGCCTATCGAAATCGTGTGAAACGAGCGAAGCAGCTGTTGTTGCAGAGGCAGAATCAGAGATTGAACTTGCAGAATCAATTCAGAGTGAGTTAAATACTCTGACATACATATGACAAATATTCTACATGCGAAAATGATTTATTACACACTGACGATGCATGTATATATTGTTACAGATGGCACAACCTGGCCAGAAGACCGTTTTACTTTCGATGCAGCCGAGAACTTTGGGAAGGCAACAGATACTGACGTCACAACGTCGCTTCACGACCGGTGGACTGCGATCCGATCAGATCGCTCATGCTCAGAGACGGGCGCAATACGAACAGAAACTTCTACGAATGAAGTAGATGATACTTTGTTATATTTGTTGCGTCAAATTAATTCATTAGGCTGGTTACTCTTTCATATTAGTATATAATTGAGAAGTATAAACCTTCTATTTGTGGCTTTATAAATATAGATTAATAGTTTTATTGTTGTTAAAAATGGGAACTAATTTTGTCCTCTGAGAGGCAGGATGTTTAAAATATAATATGTTGTAGCACTGCCCGGTTGAGTTCTACTCCAAACGTCAATTTCATGTGCACATTGGGAAACGAGTACATACCCACCACTACACGCCAGCGACCACTCACCCTCGCACAGAATCGACCTTCAACTATTACTAATCCACGACAAATGCCCAGAGGACGATCGCCGTTCAGGCAAAACTCACAGCCTTTAAATATGGTATACAATTTTTGGTTAAGATTTCTCTAAAATGTATATCTGTTTCATTCTTTTTTTCTATTTTAACCCATTAAGTTTCATGTAACTTTTATGCGATTTTTTTGTTTTAAATTCTTGTAACTCGAGTTTTGACCCAAATTTTTTTGATCGCAATTGGTATTTAGAGGTAAAAAAAAGTTGCTTTTTATGAAAAAAGATAAATATTTAACTAATAAATAATTTCGTCTATTTTTTTTTTTAGTAGAATGGATCAATAGGGATGATTATTACTTGAGTGATCTTCAGAATAATTTTAAAAATTCAAGGGGATGAGAAAGTATGAAAGTGAAAAAATATTTTTTTGAATTTTTCGGCAATTCAACATTTTTTTAAAGATTTTAAAAGTACGTTTATCTCCTCTCTCTCTCTCTCTCTCTCTCTCTCTCTATCTCTATGATGGTGAAAAAAAAAGTAAAATTATAATTTAGACAAAATCATATATTAGTTGAATATTTACCAGTAGAAAGACTGGAGTCGCTCATTTTCAATTATTGTATCTTTTCCAGACATGTCACCTCTCATTGCAGATTATATTTTCAGAGAGCAATTTCTTTTTACCCCCAAATTGCTATTAAAAAATTGTAATTATATTCTAGTTAAAAAAGTTACAACAGAAAAGCGTAGGGATCACTCCGAACTTAATGAATTAAAATATTTAGTCATTTTTTAAAAATGATCATTGATATCTTCATTGAAATTCCAGATTGACCGAGCACCATTATTTAGTCGACAGCGCTCGAGATCAAGATCACGATCACGCTCGCGTACGCACAACACGACTACGTCCGATTCCAGTGGAGACGTCGACGATCGTACTTTCAGCGAAGTTATGTACAGCCTGTCAGGGAATCTCGGCGTCACAGGGCGAACTCTTAACGATCGATTTAGCTTTTAAGTAGTGGCGTCGCAAATTCGACTTTATATCGAATTCATTACCAACAATACATTGGTAATTTACCCATAACGCTAGAAATAAAAAGTAATTTTTGTTTTAACATGTAGACAAAATGTTATTATTTTTCCTTCTTTATTAAGTACGTGTGTATTATTAATGTCAAAACATGCTGCATTAAATAATACGTCTTCACAAATATCTCTTCATTTGCTTTAATCGCAAAACTATAATTAACTTCACCTGAAATGTCGCTTTTTCACATCCGTTGTTAATGTGTATAAATTATTTTTAGGAAATATCACGATATATAGTATCATATTTTCACTTGGAATATGTGCGGTTCTTTATCTGTTTTATATCACAATTTTCATCTACGTGCAATAATTATATGTATAAATTCTTCAGTATTTTTTCATTATATGAAATATAGAGAACAAGATGTTATTTAATACGCGTATAGCAATTTCGATTACAGCTTGTTGAAATTTTTACATTTAGTGTGAAAGAAAATTAGCTTAAGTGATTACTAAGTATTTGTGTACAAGATAGAACGCGTACTTTTCAAGTGTACTTTCTTTTGCTTTGAGAAATATACAAACCTTGGATTTAAACCTTGGTGATTAGTTATCCATCTTTTTAAATTAATATTGTATTTTAGATAATCTTTAAAATGTAAGTGCGAAACATTTGAATACCTATGTAATTCACATATGTGTATGTATAGATCACATTTTATTATATGTTTAGCAAGAATTTTGGTTTAGGTTTTATAATTTGCAAGATTATACAATATAATTAAAACACATTTGAATGAAAGTTAAACTAACTTTTGACTTATATTTGAATTCAGTTATATAAGAGATTGTTTAATAAATAACGATATTATATCAAAGTAGATTTTATTAAATTACTATTGAAGTGCGGTTTAATTTGTAACATAAAACGTATGTACCTACATACTCAACGTATAACTGGAAGCTGTTTAAAGGAACAAGGCTAAAGTTTTTCTCAAATGCATATCGTCCAATTTTTTTAGATGATTTTTATATTACATTTATATCACGCATATTTCTGATTGAGACATTAGTTTTACATCGTTAACTTCATTTATTGCGTTATCCATTTCCGGATAATACAATGCGCATATTTATAATTATATCGTAGGTTTGTAATCGTAATTTTAAAAGCCTGAAAAAGTTTCCTCAAGAAGTGATAACTCGCATGCGACGCTGAATATGACGCAGTTGTAGAAATCCATTCGACGTGGACAGAAAAACGTGGACGATATTTTTAACGCGGGCGTATATTATAGTGAAGAGTGGTGAAGAGTGAAGTATCGTCCGAGGATAAATTGCGGTGGTACTTATCGCTATTATAATAAAAAAAAGAAATGAGCATAATATGCACTCATCGCCTACTCGGTTCAGTGTCAGTCATACAGATACACACGAAGTGTCCTCCTGATATGATCCGTGGTGTCCTCGTGAGTGTCTTGTAAGTGAATTCAAGTTCATGCAGGGTAACTCTGTCGAAATTGTAAACAAAACGTTCAATTTGTCGATAACTTTACAGGAAGCATGGATACTACTGTCAATGATGCATAGTTATATATAGTAGTTCAAATTGCGCTTTTGTGCTAACTGTCATCATGTCGTTTATGTCATCTTCAGTAGGGATGTGCGCGCGAAAAATAAACAAACAGGTAAAGATAATTTTATATCTTAAAAGAACAAGTTACTTTACCATTGAATGTAGGATTAAATTATTTTATATATAAAATAATTTAATCTTAAAAAAAAAATATATATATAATATAAAAAATTTAAACACAATATATATAAACTAATGCTCTTTAAAAAAAATAAAATTAATAAAAATATTAGCCAATATAAAATAATTTAATCCATTAAAAAAAATCTGCATACAGATACGTTTACATGAGATACTTTGTTCTCTGTAGCTGTTAGTGCACAATACCTCGGTTATTAAACAAATAGTTCGAAATTTGGAGGTGCATGAGCACATGGCATACACTTTATTAAGAGAAGCTGGCATTCCTACCCCACCTTTCTGGGTAGCAAAGACATCCGATGAAGCTGCTAGTCTGGCCAAGAATCTGAATACGAAGGACCTCGTGCTGAAAGCGCAAGTTCTGGCTGGAGGTAGAGGGAAGGGACAGTTTAAGGATAGCAATGTTAGTGGCGTCGTAATGTGCGATACGTGAGTACACGATGGAACTGTAATTCACAGTAGAAAGAAGTGAGAGGATCTCTTTCATTACAGAATCGAACAGGTAAAGGAATTGGCAGATAGTATGATCGGCAAGGTGCTTGTGACTAAACAGACGGGTGCAGCTGGAAAGATATGCAATTCGGTGATGGTGACAACGCGTATGTTTCCGCGTAAAGAATACTACATGGCGGTGATGTTGGAACGTACCTTCGATGTAAGTACAAGTATGTAGTCCTATATTATTTTATAAGTTAATTAAATATTTTACTCATCTCGTATATTAATGATTATTTGATATATCATATTTTTTACAATTTATTGATCTCCAAGGATTAACTTTATATTATATTATGACCCATTTGTCATTATTGTAATCGCAGAAATATCTAAAGAAAATATTCTATAAAAATTAACTATAAAATAGGTTTAATTCACCCGTCGCTTATAATTGTAAATTGCTGTCGCTTTTCCATCCAGAAACAATTCGATTTAAATACGTTATCGTCTGTGTTTCACAAGGGTCCCGTAATAATCGTTTCCAAGCAAGGCGGAGTAAACATCGAAGACGTCGCTGCTACGAATCCCGAAGCCGTAGCATATGTACCGATCGACGTGAAGAAAGGTTTAACACCCGAGCAGGCGAACAGCGTTGCCGATAAACTGGGACTCACAGGGAACAGCAAGGAGATCGCGTCGATCGTCGCCTCCAATCTCTACGACTTGTTCGTCGAGAAGGACGCACTGCTGCTAGAGATCAATCCGTTCGCAGAAGACATCTGTGGCGAATGTACGCTGCAACGAATGAGATAAGATATGAGAAACAAGAGCGTATAGCAGCCTTTCAATAATAAGACTAAATAACGTATATAATACTCTGCGTCTTATTACCGCAGATTACGCTCTGGATTGCAAATGCAAATTTGACGACAGTGCCGATTTCCGGCAGAAGGAGCTGTTCGCCCTGAAGGACACAACCCAGATGGACCCGAAAGAAGTCGAGGCGGAGAAGTATAACTTGAATTACATAGCTCTCGATGGAAATATTGGCTGCATGGTGAACGGAGCCGGACTGGCGATGGCCACCATGGATATCATAAAACTGTACGGCGGTAAGCCAGCAAATTTTTTGGACGTCGGCGGTACCGCTACAGTCGAGACAGTGACGGAAGGCTTCAAAATACTATCTTCGGACCCAAATGTAATTATAAAAATAGTGTTAAAATAATACAAAAAATTGATATATTAATGATTTTAAAGGTGGAAGCTATCTTGGTGAATATTTTTGGCGGCATAATGAGATGTGATATAATCGCTCAAGGGATCATAGACGCTACGAAACAATTGAATCTGAACGTGCCCATAATTACGCGATTACAGGTGATTACCTTTAAGTTACACGTACTAGCCTTGTAACACTTCATTTTTTTTTAAGCCGCCTATTTCTTTGTAGGGTACCAATGTCGATAAAGCTAAACAGTTGATATTGGACGCTAAGCTAAAAGTAATTTCCGTGGACGATTTCGCTCAAGCGGCCGAGACATCTGTCAAGTTAGCATCGATGATGAATATTGCGAAGTCTTCAGATTTAGATATCACTTTTAGTACTAAATCGCCAAAAAAGGATTTTGAACAAGTAAAAAACTGACACCTTTGGAAGAGTTTGTCAAATATTTTATATTTACATATCAACGAAATATATCTTTTTATACATATGCAAAAAGTGTGTGTTATTATTACACGAATAATAATAAAATGCTGACAATTCATAATTTTTAAGAATATTAAGATAATTATAGTGAAAGAAAGTTAAGTTAGTGATTTTTCTGGCTTTCTCACGAGAATGTGTATAAAGTACCTTTTTTCTGAAAATTATAATTTTTAAAATTATTCCAAGTCATCCTAATTTTGTATCGTACTTTTTTGTATCACATTTCAAAGTGATGTTGCTTTATTCTAAGTGATTCTCTAATAAAATATAAAAAAAACCATTTTACAGCTAACTCCCTTTTTTAAAAAGAAAATCAATTTCTTGTATCACTATAGATTATTCCAAAAGAACGATTTTATATAAGTCATGAAAATCTAAACAATTTTTTTAGCTGGTTCTTTTTTTTCAAAAATTGAACAATTTCTTATCGCTACAAATTGTTCTAATTATTCCAAACATTCCAAAAGAGTAATTCCGTAAGTTAAACCAGAAACCTGAAAAAAGAAAACGTTTTTCGACAAATTGATTCTTGGACCAAGAATAAACATACATTTTCGTGTTCCAGTCGAAAACTTTTTGTTCCAAGGCTTAAAAAAATTTGTCGTAAAACGCACAAATGAAATAACATCCTTTATTCTGTCATCTGTGTCGTTTGCTGGAAAGCACACAAAGATAGAAAGATATTTGTGTCGACTTGCCACACGGAAAGCACCAATGTGACTTGTGGTGCGTTCGGGGAGACGCTATTAGCGCTACTTCTGTCATCCTATCTTCGTTTGTTAGACGTAAAACAAGGCTAGAATGACAAATAGCGCTAACTTAGCTTGCAAAGTTAGAAAGTCAGCTCGCAGCGAGTCGCTCGTCCTCGAATGTCTGCAATCGAGCAACATTCCAGTCGCGCGTTTGTTCTTCTCTAATTAAATGGGCGAAACTGAAATGAGCACAATAATTATATCCCATTCCGTCTATGCGCATAGAGCAATAAGAAATTTGTAACATTTTCTACATAATAAGCGCTACGAAAAAACATTAGCAAAGAAAGTTAAAATTTTTACTACTGTAGCAATTTTTATCGCGATATTTTGTGGCAATTAAAAATAGAAAACCAGCAGAATAACTTTGCTGGTCAGAGTATTTTTAGTCGCCGACCTCACTAAAAAAAACCGGAAACATTTAGGCTATCTTTACGAAAAAGTGTCTCCCCTTTGTTGTGATGTGAACGCACCTTTGTTGTGATGTGACTCGCGTAAGGTGAGGTTGTAAGGTTCTGCGTCATGTGTTGCGCGTAGGAGATGTCAAACCTGGGTGGGGAGGCCGTGAGGGGCAAAGGCGGCGAAGCTTCTGTTAGTCCACCACACTCCCAGTGCTCCCAGTTGTAGACCCCAGTGCCACAGTCCACGGCTGTCGCTCAGGCAAAGATGGCTACCATGTTGTCGCGGGCGATCTCACTCGCGGAAAGTCTCGGTCGACTGAACAGTCCCAAGGTATGTCAAGCCGATGGATTTTTCCGCATTCACGTTAATCGCGTGACTTTGGCACGTTCGTACGAAACGCGCCGGTGATTGATATTGATACTGATCGGCCGAAAAGGAGAGAGAAAGAAAGATAAGCGAGTGCGAGCAAGACGGAGCGAAGGTCGCCGATCGCCATATTGGACTACAGCTGTAGTCTGCTAAATCGAGCGCCAGGGTCGTGAGCGATTTGAAGCCGAGGATCTCATCTGTAGAATCCCTCCTCCCTCCTCCCCGATAGATCGGCGTGACAGTTACGCAACCGATCGGGGAACCGCCTCTCACGTCTTCCCTTCGATGTTCTCGTCGTCCGCCTTCGCGTTTCTATCGAATTACCGCTCGCTCGCGCGAGGGAATAAAGTACTTGTCAAATAGCCACTACGCACCGGCGACGATCGTCCTCGATAGCTTTTTATTTCTCATCGAACGAGTCGAAAAGAACGACACGGATTCAATCGAATTGGAAGGACAATCGATACTTTCATGCCTTCCCCTTCTTCGCGCACGATCAATCAAAATCCTCGCTTCTCTTTTTCTCGTTGGAACACATTTATTTTCAGCGATGGGACACGACCTTGACTTGCGACGACGTATGTGTTCTGGTTGTCAAAGTCGTCGACGAGCAAATTAGCTAGAGATAGGAATTTTCATTTAAAAAATCGATTGTATGTTTTTTTCATGTTATTGAATTTTCTCAGCTTCGTTCTTGTTATGACGATTTATCTAATCAGAATATTGATATATATATATATTTGTAAATATAAAAGGTATATCTTCGTAAATTATGAATTAAAATTCCAACGGAAACAGAATTTGCTTGATCTTGAGCATTTATTAAGTTTCTATTTTTGTTTATCAACCTATATGTCTTATTAAATAATAGCGAATTCGGTTAGGGGTGCACATTAAAGAATTCGTTGTACACAAATAGATATATGTGTGTTTAATTTAATACAAACATAGAAACAATTCTCAATACATTTTATTGTCTATTTGGTAAAATATTTTTGGGCATTTTACCATCCGAGATATTTTACATTTACATTCAGTTTTATTATTTACTTTTTCTTTCTTAAAAGTTAACCAGATATATTTTATTTATTTTATGCGCTTTTATTTTGCTGGAAAGAAATCGATTGACTAAAGAATCGTAGTAAGAACAATATCCGGAGATTTTAAAACCTTCTGTATGCATTTTTTAAATATTTTCTTATATAAGTCTATTAACTTTTATGAAAATAATAATAATAATAATGAATTATGAATTATAAGTGCTATAAGACTAGAATACGCACTCCAATTTGTGTTGTGTTGTTTTTTTTTGTGGGACAACGTTTATTAAATTATATTACAATCTTGCCTAAAATATGTAATTTGCAATTATGCGAGTATATATATTTACAAAAACAGATGCAGAAACTCTGACCTTTTCTAAAATATTGATGCTCAATTAATTTCGACATAAATATTTCAGCAAAATAATAATATGACGGCATGTTTATCAAATTAAGTTTGGAAAAAAATTGTTGTGAAAATAATTGAAAAAACTATTGTTTAACTGTATTTTAGAAATATAAATTGTGCTCATAAAAATACACAATTTCTAAATTATAAATATTGCAACATGAAATATACATTCGATGCAGCTAAATTAAAAATTTTTAAATCAAATGGCATTTAAGATGCACCTATGATCCGATTTTCCGGAAATGTTTGTCGAACATTTGAAAATAATCAGATAACGTATCTTGATTTGTTTCTTCAATATGCTGTCGGCGTCTTATTTATTATGTTTTTGAAAGAAAGTGAATTAAAAAATATCTACACCTTAAATTAGATTTATCTAATTTTTAACAAATATTTAGAAATTTTATTCTGGGAAAACAGTTGCGTTATGGAAATTATCATAGCGTAGTATAATTATTGTAAAATTGTCGTCAGTTCATAATACTATTATTATGCAATATTTTTACAATTGACTAAGTATTAATTATGTGTTAAGACTTTTAGTCCATAAAAAGAATTTTTTGTGTTGATTAAGTGATTAAAAAGATATTTATGATTAATATAGTCTGTATTAATTGCGTCAAAGTTGCGATTTACATACATAATTTTAAGGAATATTTAAATTAAAGGACCTGCCAAAAATATTTTTTAATTATGTTGTTCAAACGTAAAAGTCTTTCAGGTCACTGAATCTAATGTTAAAATTGATGATAAATTAATTTAAATTAAAAATTGAATGCGAAAAATCCTTATACAAATGAATTATTTCAAAAATTTGAACGTTTTTTAAATTTTGATATCCACCATTGATGACTGATTGATCATATTGATCATTTTGAATTTATTAACTTTGTCATGATATTAGATTACTTATACCAATAGAGCTTATATTGATGATGTTTCTAGTAAATATATGTTGCTAGTAAAATCTATAGTTTAAAAGTAAAATCTATAGTCGAAAATCTATAGTTCACACTATACTATAGATTTTAAGTATTGGCAGAGTATAGCATTGTATTATACGTATATTGTTACTTTGATGCAATAAATCTTCTCCAACACGTCACATCATAATTATAACATGCTAACTGCAAAACAGTCCTTTTTGCAACTTTAACTTTGCAAATTTCTCAAAATTATGACGCTATTATTATTATAGAGCAATTTCCCAAATAGCACAGCAATTAACAAAGCGCATATAAGCGCTAAAAAAGCGATTATATGCGCCTTTTTAGCGCTTCGTTAACGCTTTGTAAACGCTGTGTACTACTTGGGTTGGTAAACGGGATCATGTTTAGTGTGGAAAACTGGGAAACGATTGTTCTTGTACTAAAAGAAATTAATTTTTTGTTGAATAATGTAATCAATAACTTCGAAGTTTTAAATGCAATTGATAGATGCAACAAAAAATAACAAGCGGTATTAATATTTTGAAAACATTAAGCTGTCTGTTTAAAACTTAATTTAAACTTATTTGTGTTCAAAGATTGCTGAAGAATCTGTATTAAAAAAAGTTGTAAATGAATGTCACTTTAAACTGTTATACAATTCATTTTATTGCATATGAAGTGTCATTGCCAAAACGCATGTAAAAGCTGTATGTAGGTGATAAACATGTGCATAGCTTATTGCCATTCAGCCTTCAAGTATAGATTTATATTTAACTATTACATGATTTATGAGTGACAGATCAATTTGCATATATTTTAACCTACGCATGTTATTTTATTTTCTTGATATCAATACACCGTACAATTTTTATCTACATTTCTTTCTTTATCCTGATCAATGTGCAAAGTGTATACAATGTAAACTTTGGAATATACCAATTATCAATAATAATGACGTTAGAGCTGGGAATATGTATTTACTACGTATGATCCAAACAAATACAAGAGTTTATCACTGAACCTTTTTGTCACATCCTTTTTTAGATATTGGCGTGTAATACTAGCTTGGTCAAACAACCAGCCAGGAATTTGAATGTTCATGAACACATTAGCTACAGTTTACTCAATGAGGCTGGTGTGCCGACACCTAAATTCGGCGTCGCCAAAACTCCTGACGAAGCAGCTAAACTCGCTGCCAATTTGAAAACAAAGGATATCGTCTTGAAGGCCCAAGTCCTCGCTGGCGGCAGAGGAAAAGGACACTTCAAGGGAACGAGCGTCAGCGGAGTGAAGATGTGTGAAACGTAATTACGGCCCGTTTCGATTAGATTGCATGCAATATGTACTCTAGATGTGTCGCAAAATATTGTAGCTTATTATTATTGCTTATAGTCCAGAAGAAGCCAAGTCGTTGGCAGGTCAAATGCTTGGCAAACTATTGATCACAAAACAGACTGGCGAAGGTGGCAGGATATGCAACGCCGTGATGGTCACACAGCGCATGTTTCCCCGTAAAGAGTACTACCTTGCTGTCATGATGGAAAGAGCCTTTGGTGTAAGTTTTAAAATGATGAAAAGCGCATTTGAGAAGTTATTGCATTAAATAAAAGATTTCTAATGAATACTTTCTATTCCCAGGGTCCTGTCATAATAGCTTCCAGTCAAGGTGGGGTGAACATCGAAGAAGTCGCAGCGACAAATCCTAGTGCTATCATGTACGAACCTATCGATATCAATAAGGGAATTACAAAGGAACAGGCGGAACGTATAGTAGTCAAGCTTGGCCTTGATAACGTGAAAGACTACATTTCCAATATAATTTCTTTTGGAAGTGAATCCTCTTGCCGAGGACATAAACGGGAATTGTAAATTTCTCTCTCGCTTAATATTTTATAAATGCGATTTGCACGAATCTTCCTACATAAGTTTTTTTTTTCAGATTTTGCTCTGGATTGCAAATGCCGATTTGACGACAACGCTGAGTTCAGGCAAAAGGGACTCTTTAATTTGAGAGACTGGACTCAAGAGGATCCTAAGGAAGTCGAAGCTGCGAAATTCGACTTAAATTACATCGCGCTCGACGGCAACATAGGTTGTATGGTGAACGGAGCTGGTTTAGCTATGGCAACGATGGACATTATAAAATTGCACGGTGGCGAGCCGGCTAATTTCCTCGATGTTGGCGGTGGTGCGTCGGCTTCAGCGGTGAAGGAAGCATTTAAGATAATCACTTCTGATCCACGAGTAAGTGCACAAAACTATGATTGAGTCTCTATGATTTAATTGAATTTACATGCATTCTTTTCTGTCAGGTTCATGCTCTCTTAGTTAATATCTTCGGCGGCATCATGAGATGCGACGTTATAGCAGAGGGTATTATCGCCGCGACTAAGGAACTAAGTTTAAAAATTCCCGTCGTCGTAAGATTGCAGGTACGGCATGTGCTTTGTTTTACAAATAATTATTACAATGATTACAATTACTTATGGAATTATACAAAGATTTTTTTTTTACTTTCTAGGGTACTAATGTGGACGAAGCCAAGGCTCTGATCGCGAATGCGGGTTTAAAAATTGTACCAATCGATGATCTCGACGAGGCCGCCAGGGTTGCGGTAAAATTATCGACCATTGTTAAATTAGCTCAATCTGAAAATCTCAGTGTGAACTTCGAAATACCTGCAATTTCATAGGTAGTAAAAAAATTATAATTGATAATATATTATTAAGATAATTTTGCCGAGAATATGTACTCAATTGTTAAAAGATTTCAGGAACGTCTGAAAGTAATAACTACAGTAATAACTTTATATGCGTAATGTATTCTCGTCAAAGAGTAATATTTTACACAGTTCGAATCTTTGCGTAACTTTACAGAAAGAGAAAAAGAATAAAAAGTAGAATAGTTTTGGACAAGTCTGTGACATACAAAAGTGATACGACTGGAAAACATGATAAAATATGAAAACGAACTAATAATGTATTGTTTTATGTGTGCGTGTACACATATACACACAGATGTATATATTTATGGTAATCTTTCTCTTTAATACAGTCACGAACATTTGTAATACACAGAATTGTACAACATTATTCACGGAAACGCGTAATTTATCAGCGCTTACTCCAGCGCAAAGATGAGATCCATAGATTCTATGAGATCCAGTATTAAGGAGATTAAGTTATATACATGTAATATATTACCTATTTGCAAGCAACCATTGTCCATGGAAATGTACGCTCTAGAATGTTCAAAACTATCGACAAAATATTATTAGACATTAAAATAACTATCAGCTTTTTGAAACATTAATATAAATATTAGCTTATAATGCGATGTTAAATTTATTATTATTATACCAATGCTTCGTAAATAAGTGTACAAATTTACAACTCAATTTGATAAAACTACTATCTTTTTACGATGCGCATGAATAATCGTTATAAATAAAAATCAAATATTATCTTATATGTATCATATATATAAAAGATTAAAACTTTTATATATAATAAATTGTAATAAAAAATCGTAAAATTAATATTGCATTATGAGCTAACTATCCAAATTTTGATAGTCGTGCGAACATCCGTAAGATTATTGGTCTTTAAAAGAATCTCATCGGTATCAAAATTAGTAAGAAATGCATGTTTATTCTTTAAAATCTTTCACAACAGCCGTTCACATAAAAAACTGTGGAATGTCGAAAAGTAAAAGGCCTGTTCCATGTAACATAATACATGTAGTGATATATATGTATACATAAATTATTTTGCATAACTTTAGTTTGTTTTCATTCCTTCAATAAACGGTTATATCGTCCGTATGTTGCTGTTATCGAGTTATGCTAATATCGACTTAAATTTTTATATGATTGTGCAAATAATCATCGAACAAATCTATACGTTTATATATTTATTCTCTGTTATTTAACAAATTGTAATTACAAGATTATCGTTAATACTGCCGTGTAAAGATGTTAAGTAGTCATGAGAACTTTGATAATTTCTGTAAATATGAAGTATCGCTTGTTTCTTATCGCGAAAGGATAAGACAAGGTATACGACTTCTTCTTAGTTCTATTGCTAGTGGCCGAACGTGATGACTTCTCTCATATGCCTGTGGTACGCATGCTGGTTATACATACAGTCATATGGGACCTACAGTTTAATGTCGATTCCGAATGACAAAATTTTGTTAGACTATATAGGTCTGTTCTTTTCAGTTAAAGTTCTTGTACGATTCATCTTTCTTCCCTTTTTTTCCATGTTGGAGAGAAAAAGAGAAAAGATGAACATGCAAGAAGTTCAGTTAAAAAGAATAGGCCTTATGAATATCAGCTTAAGTTGTAATTTATTTGACACACTAAATCCTATTATAATGGTTGCGTTTAGCATAAAAAGCAGCTTTGTAACTGTTGTAAGATTTTCTGTTGAACGGTTGTCAGCAGTTTATTATTTTCAAACATGTTGCTAAGCAATCTCATAATTCTTTCCAACATATTAACAATTATCGTTCAGCAGAAATTAGTGCTAAATACATATATTAAGCAATATGAATTATAATGTAGTTACTATATCTTCATGTATAGTTTATATTAGATATATTATTATAATAATGGAAAATTCACTAATGATGTTTATGATGGATAATATATTTTCAGTTTGCTTGAAAAAATGCCGAATGCTTAACAAATGTAAATTTGTAGACGTTTATCAAAAATTTGAAATGCTACATTTGTTGTTTTACGATTTGAGTTATATTGCCAAACAGGTTAAAACGACATTTAATTGTTTACGACTAGAATTTGAAAATAATATAATTTTCGAAAAGGTAAATACAATAATATATAGTAATTATGATATAAATATATATTTTTTTATATTTATCAGAATTAGTTTGAAAAGCTATTATTATATTTTATAATTTTATTTCGCAGCATAAAGTTATATATATCATTAGAAGTTTAATTTATTTAGTACGTTATTAAAACGAATAACTGCGTTCAGCAGACTCAACAGTTGAGTGAGCGCTCGCTGTTGGTGTATTTTTCTAGATCATCCAATTAGATTTTTAGATCTTGGCTGCGTTCGGTTTGCACGCTTACACGCTTTAAGCACTTATAAGCATTGCCACGTTGTTCGCTTTGGCGGTGTAATGCGTTCAGAAATGCGTTCATGACATCATCCGTAACGTCATACTCGTGCTCACAAATGCTTATTTCGGCTGTGTTCCAAAATTGACTGCCAGTACTGAAAATCTACAGTGCACGTGACGTAGACTAGTATTTTCTATGCTGGCAGTAAATTTGGAACACAACCTTCGTCGAGATAGGGAAAAGCGTAAGCATAAATAAGCGCTTATTGGACAAAATAAACGTGAGCAATGTTCGATCCTAACATTCCTAACCCTAATAGGTTAGATATATGCACGTTTTTTCATGATTAGAGAAATATTTAACGAATGTGTCGGATTGCGTGCATATTTTAACGCTTTCGTAATATACTTTGTATATGAACGTTTTCTGATTTTGTACTAATAAAAAAGACTTTGTTCATCAACAAAGAATTGGATGCTTAAATTTTTATCAAGAAAATAGGAAAAAAAATTTACTTATACAAAGATGACATCAACAGATAAAGTTATAATTGATAAAATGCACAGACTGGGAATATGTACACTGCTTTCCATTTAATGACTCAAATCGACACAAGTCGATACAAGTATTGTTCTATCCTTCTTGACATTCAGAGAGTGACAAAGATAGAACGACATTTGTGTCGACTGTAGGACTATTCTTTTTGGCTGAACTTTTGCACCAGTTCTCCTTTTTTCTTCTTTTTTCCTCCTGTAGAGAAAAGGAAGAAAGATAAACTATAGTTTCCCCTAAAAAGAAAGCAGCCGATATCTCCAATTCCCGATAGTATGGCTATGTTTACACCGTACGACTGGCTACGTTTACACCGTGCATTTAGCCCGCGACCTATACAATAGACCTATACATTCTTGTTTATCCTGTATATTAAACAAAGACACCTATCGTATAGGTCGCGGACTAAGCGCACGGTGTAAACGTAGCCACTGATAGCGACCTGACCTATATCGTGACCCAAAGTAGGTCTAGTCACCAACCGTTTACACCAAAAGGGACTTAAAAATTGATTGGGTCACATTTAGTCCACGCTGGTCCGAATTAGAGCCATCTATCGTATTTTGTACAGATTATTTCCAGTATTGTACTCGCCAGAAGGTATACATAGCGCTATATTGAGTCGGGATGACAGATATCTTAACCTCTAAAATCTCGAATTTTAATGCTTAAGATTTCGGTTCGCCAGGCCGACCGCCGCATTTTTGCCAGATTCTTTCATTTTAAGTGAAAACGCGTCGAATGAGCCCAATTTCTTCAAAATCGGAGATGAGGCCCGTATTCTAAATAATTACCATTATTTGTATTATTTTGATTAGCAAAGGCATTGGTACTTACGAACTTGAATCGCTGCATGAACTTTTTTCCATCTTTTTTTTTAATATTTATGTTCTTTGCACAAATCAATTAGTCTTTTCACAGTCTAGAAGTAAATAACAAACCGGTTTAACCTAACTATTCAACAAAACAGCAGTGTCCTACCGAGCAAACGGCTACGAAGCTTTTAGGTCGGGTCAATCGCGCGTTTACACCGAGAAAAAATCCGACCTACAACAGGTCGGGTCAGGTATAGTAGTGTTTACAGCGTGCGGCCTTAATAATGTGACCTAAATTAGGTCGAATTTGGGGTATAGGCCGCGGACTAAACGTACGGTGTAAACGTAGCCTATGTACCACGACTTGGGCAGAGTTCAGGAGGCTTAATACGTTTCCTTGTGACGAAGTGAAAATTACAAAAGTAATTGAATTTATTAGTATATTTATAATTTCATTGGTTAACTTCTAGTGAATTTGATCATTTTTGTAATTTTCACTTCGTCACAAAAACCGTAATAAGCTCCCAGATTCCCCACCCGGGTACGCTCAGACACCCAGAAAGCGTTCAGATTCCTTTTAAGCGCCTTCATCGAATGCCTAGGTGGAACCACAGCATATACAGTAGCGCAACTCTCACGATTTCACCGTGGATAAAAATGAACACGCGCGAGCGAGGTATATAACCAATCAGGACACTTATATTCCATCTCGCTTCTTCTCTTTATTGTCGCTGTCTGCCTGCACCGTTGAAATGTCCATATAAGGGATTTAAATAGCCATTTAACGGAAAGTGACAGTTTTGATTAATTATAACTGATTAGTTTTCTCTGTTGAATGCAGCCATTATCAATTAGTTAACGTAATAGGTACGTTTCAGCGGAACACAACAGTTTTGAAACCATTTTTATGATTGTGTGCTAAGATAGAATCCACCAATCCTCTAGATCTAAAAGTATAATACAATCAGCGCAAAGAAAACTTTCAACATTTGCGAAATAAACGCTGAACGCAGTCATTTTTTATTCGTTTTTTAAAATAACATGTAACAGGTTTAATATTGTTGTGATTTGAGATATAGTAAATTGAATTAGTCGAATAACTGGATTTTATCTGACAAATATAAGAAGAAATTTAAAAAATAAATTTAACACCGTTTTTTTAACAGTAAAGGAAGAATATTTCAAATTGGAGATTAAGTAATATCGATCAATTAAAATAAAACGAATTGCTATATTATTATTAGTTCTCCTATTGCGTTTATATTTTGTAACTCTGACTATCATTGTAAATAAAAAAAATTAAGTATAAGTACGAATCTCCTTATATTTCCTGAGAAATAAATGTATATCTATCAT